CCTTGAGTAATTGTCTTAGTTTTATTTACCCCTTTTGAGATTTTATTTGAAGCCACGAAACCATCGTGACAACGTGTTAAGTAACAATAAATTACTGCCATGTCTTAAAAGTTGTTGCTTATAGATTTTTTTCAATAATCAAACCATAATCACAAAAAACCGATGTAAGGAGCAGTCAGGAAACCTGCTTGAGTATTATTGTCTAAATTGTTTTTACTAATCAATTCTGGCTGTACTACTCTTTCAGTATTACAAATGTCGGAGAAAATGGATAGTACGATTCATGATTTTGTGGTAATATAATCTGGATGATCGACCAGGCGTCAAGACATGGCTCATAAGTAGCCTAGTTCGTCAAAACCGGAACATTAAAAAAAAAAAAGTAATCTGGATGATCGATCATCCTGATAATTTCTTGAATAATATTTTGTAACCATAATAGTGAGGCTTCATGATTGTGATAATATCTTCCTTTGAAAGAAATTGTTGAAGAATTATTGTTCCTACCGCACTGTATGATTACGTTTTCACACCCTTCCTTAAGTAATTGTTGCGTCCAGTTCTTTATGTTTACATTATAAACGATAAACAAAAAGTTGTAAGTTGATGTAAAATTTATTTAATAATGTTACAAAATGAATCAAAATCTCAAAAAACTAACTACTCCATTCAAATTTAATAAATTATTTCACATACAAATAGAGGAAAAAAAAATGCAATTAAAATTATTTGTTATTATATAACATCAAAATACATATAAATTTAAGAAACGTAATGTCATATTTAAATGGAATATTCAATTTTTACTATTTCATCATTCATAAAACAATTCCAAGTAAATATAGTAAGTTTAATATAATCTAAAAGGCAAATATTTGTTATATATTTTTTTTATTTTGGGTTCTCTGATATTTGAAACCAGTTAAAAGCTTTTTTTAAATATATCGCTCTATTTCTTTCCACATTTATATAATTTAACAAGTCTACTTATCCATATTCAGCTGTGATTTTATATTATTCAAAAGCTTTAATTTCAACTTTCAATTCCAATTTTATTTTGAAAATAAAAGCCAATTTATTTTGTTCATTAACATAATCTTTTCAGCTGCGATTATATATATTTCAAAAGCTTTAACTTCATCTTTTTCAGTCCTATTCCATTTTTATAATAATAATCAAGTTGATATTGTGCTTTAACATATTTCTATTTAGATACAATTTTAAATAATTCAGAAGCTTTAACTTTATCTTTTTCAGTTTCAATTCCTTTTAATAACAAAAGCTAAATTATTTTGTATATTAACAAAATGTTTTTTCAGCCGCAACTTTATATAATTCAAAAGCTTTAACTTCATCCTTATCAGTTCCAATTCCATTTAGATAACAAAAAGACAGTTTATTTTGTGCATTAACATCACCTTTTTTAGCTGCAATTGTATATAATTCAAAAGCTTTAACTTCATCTTTTTCAGTTCCAATTCCATTACGATAACAAAAAGCTAAATTATATTGTGCATCAACATAATCTTTTTTAGCTGCAATTTTAAATAATTTAAAAGCTTTAACTTCATCTTTTTCAATTCCAATTCCATTTAAGTAACAATAACCAAGTTGATATTGTGCAACAATATCATCTTTTTCAGCTGCAATTTTATATAATTCAAAAGCATTAACTTTATCTTTTTCAATTTTAATTCCATTCTGATAACAAAAAGCTAAATAATTTTGTGCATCAACACAATCTTTTTCAGCTACAATTTTATATAATTCAAAAGCTTTAACTTCATCTTTTTTAGCTCCACTTCTTATTTGATAACAAAAAGCTAAATTATTTCGTACTTTAACATAATCTTTTTCGGCTGCAATTTTATATAATTCAAAAGCTTTAACTTCATCTTTTTCAGCACCTATTCCATTTAGATAACAATAATTAAGTTGATATTGTGCAATAATATCATCTTTTTTAGCTGTAATTTCATATAATTCAAAAGCTTTAACTTCATCTTTTTCAGTTCCAATTCCATTTTGATAACAAAAAGCTAACTCATTTTGTGCTTGAACATAATCTTTTTCAGCTGCAATTTTATATAATTTAAAAGCTTTAACTTCATCTTTTTCAATTCCAATTCCCATTTGATAACAATTAGCTAAATTATTTTGTGAATTAACATTATCTTTTTCAGCTGAGATTGTATATAATTCAAAAGCTTTAACTTCATCTTTTTCAGTTCCAATTCCTATTTCATAACAAAAAGCTAAATTATTTTGTGCATCAATATTATCTTTTTCAGCTGCAATTTTATATAATTCAAAAGCTTTAAATTCATCTTTTTTAATTCCAATTCCATTTAAATAACAAAAAGCTAAATTGTTTTGTGCTTTAACATCATCTTTTTCGGCTGCAATTTTATATAATTTAAAAGCTTTAACTTCATCTTTTTCAGTTCCAATTCCATTTAAGTAACAAACAGCTAAATTATATTGTGCTTTAACATAATCTTTTTCAGCTGCAATTTTATATAATTCAAAAGCTTTAACTTCATCTTTTTCAGTTCCAATTCCATTTTGATAACAATAACCAAGTCGACATTGTGTAATAACATTATCTTTTTCAGTTGCAATTTTATATAATTCAAAACCTTTAACTTCATCTTTTTCAGTTCCAATTCCATTTTGATAACAAAAAGCTAAATTATTTTGTGCATCAACATTATCTTTTTCAGCTGCAATTTTATATAATTCAAAAGCTTTAACTTCATCTTTTTCAGTTCCAATTCCATCTTTATAACAAATAGCTAGAATATTTTGTGCATTTAAGTATCCTTGTTCAGCTGATTTTTTAAATAATTTGAAAGCTTTTCTTTCATTTTTTCTATACCTTTACCATCTTTAAAACAATTTCCTAAATTATATTGTGCTATCATATTTCCATTTTCTGCTACTTTATGAATATATTTATATGCTTTTTTATAATTTAGTTTAGTTCCAATTCCAAAATAATAATTAATTCCGATTCATCTTAATCCTTCAAAATATATTATTTTATAAAGCTTTTCATTTTTTTTTTGTTTAGTATTAAATTTTTTATTATAATTTTTCTCTAAAGTATATTTTGCAACAATATTTTCATTGCATGCTGCTTTATTATACCAAAAATAAGCTTTATCCTTATCTATTTCCGTTCCAATCCCATTATAGTAACAATTTCCAAGTTGAATTTGTGCATCAGATATTTCTTTCTTTGCTAAATTAATATAATATTTAAAAGCTTTTGTTTCATTCTTTTTAACTAAGACACCTAATCTATAACAATTTGCCAAGTTAAATCTTGCAATCATATTACCATTATTAGTTGCTTTTTTATACCAATCTATTGATTTCTCTTTATTTTGCTGTACTCTTATACCAAATCCATAGCAATATCCTAGATAAAATTGCCCAAAAATACTCCCATTCTCTACTGATTTTTGATAATACTCAAAAGCTAATTTATAACTTTTTTCAGTTTCATATCTTTCATAATAACATTTAGCAAGATAAACTTGCGCAATTGAATTATTATCTTTTGCTGCTTTTAAAAATAATTCAAACGCTTTACAACTATCTTCAAGTATGTCAATATTGTGATAATAAAGCAATCCAAGAAACCATATATATTGTAGCTCATCTTGATTTTCGATAAGCCAATTTAAAAGATTATTCATGTTTTGATTTAATCTCAATAATGGCTTTTTAATAATATCTTCAATTTGATCAAAAGTATAACCTTCATCATGTTTTTTAATTACATAATCAATAATTATATTAATTGTTTTATTGTATATTGATTCCAATGAATCTAATGAACTTCTTGATAAATTTTCAACTTGAAAAGTCGGATTACTTATCGTTTTAAATAGAGTAGGCTTTTGTTTTTGCAAGCTTGAATTGTTTGTAAATTCAGATTCTATAATCTTAAATTGGTTAAATTCATCTAATAATAATATTAAATCATTATCATCTACAAATATTACACTTGATTCATCAGATTTAAGGTCGGATTCATTATTTACAAATGAAGTACTTCCTTTATTATAATCTTCATAACTTATTTCAGTTACAACCTCATGTTTTTTGAGTGAAACTAATTCTTTGAGCGATAAAACTACCTCATTTATATTTGGACGTTTTACTGGCTCATAATTCCAGCATTCTAATGATATGGATGAGTAAATTAATAAAATAAATAAATATTACTAAATAATATTAAATATTACTTACTTTGATATAGATTACTGTATTCCAATGAAGTACCATCGATTATTTTCTC